TATTATAATATTAATAAATAAAATATATTCACTTGGATGTGAGCTATGAATATGAAAAGAGATTAAAACAGATGCGAAAAAAATTGTTAAATTGCTAAAATTGTTTTTAAATTATTTTTAAATAAATATCATTCATTTTAGAGCTTTCTTAATACTAATCCTAAATTTATTAAATTTTTTTTTTTGCATATCTGTTACTTTTATGAATAAAAAAATGATATTCACTCATGATTTTTTTTTTTTCCCCTATTTTCCAACACAAATTAATTTCATTATTCAAAACACACGCCCCTCTGCAATTATCATAAACAAAAATCCTCAGCTATGAACTTGAGATTAAAAGGCCATTAAAGTGCCCGCCCTCCAAGCAATCATCCTTTACCACCTTTATGGCAGTTAACAAACGTGTAAATGGATTATAGATTGATATGGAATTGTTGTTGGCTCGTCCGATAAAAAATGCGAATTTAATTACATATAATTGAATAGACATTTCGAATTTCAACGCGCAGAGGATCCAGAGGGTCAATTAATTAAACACCATTTAAGCAATCATTAATAAATGAAATGCAATTTGTCAATCCACTGTGAGCGGGACAGCCTATCAAAGAGTTGTGTGGCGAACGTGTGAGAAAGCGATTTAGTTTTTAGAGTCTAAGAACTCGAATAGCATCGCAGTCGTTCTCGATCGGCCAGAGAGCTAACCAGCCTTAACCAGCCTGCCTGGCTGCCTGACTGCCTGCCCTGGGCCAGAGCCAAATTGATTGACCAGATCAACGTCGTGAACGTCGTCGTATGAATGAACCCGAAAGCCACATCGATAATTGATGATATTTAACCAACTCATGTCTACGTCTATCTGTATCCAGCCACATGCAAATGGCCAGCGGATCATTTCCAGATCGAAATCGTTTCACACACTCACCCAAAAAACATAAAATAAAAAAAAAAAAAATTAAACAAAAACAACGGAATTGGCTTGCGGCCCCAAAACAGCATCGGAAAAAGCATGAAAAAATAAGCTTCAGCCGAGCATTTCATTAATAATTTCCGAATAGCTCTAGCTTTAGACATACATATAACAAGCTTTTCAATACATCTCCCAATTAGTAGTAAGAAAGACAGTTAGAAGCAATCGACGATTTCATTCACAAAAACAAAGCGATAAAAAAGTGAGAAATTTCTAGCAGAGTTTAAGCGACTGTAGCGATACCCGCTCGAGGTACGCGCTTATGTAAATCTTACAAGTTATTCATGTATTTCCATGTGGCGAGACATATATATAAAACGCGACTTTGGAGACAATCCTGGTAATTCGGGTTCTAGAACTATAGAAGTTATAGTTTCCTGATTTGGCTACACCATATCTAGGCTATTTTGATTGAATCTATATTAGTGAGAGTGGGTGAATATTAACCTACTCATAACATTTGCTGGCTGTAGCTTTTAGATGTTGAAGATGCAGGTTATGTCATCTCAGATCTATTCAGAAAGAAAGTAAATAGCATAGAGCTCCCTAAAAGATCTAGTATTTTCAAATGGTGATATTCACCACGCTCCTCGTCGATATATTTAGGTATACAAACTTTTATATGAATACTGGTATATGAGTATACATTGTATACGCTCGAGGTATACCATGTACAAATTTTTAAACCACATAATAAAGTATTTCAATAATGGATCAATCTGTGAAAGAGCTCAAAAGTTAGCCCATTACAATATCGATTTCTAGATCTCGCTGCAGAACTTTCAGCAGTCCCAAATATAGTAAATAACCAACACTTAGGATCTTTATCAGTCACCTTAGTCATCATTATAAATCATAGATTACAATGAAAAATTATATAAAAATTGTCTACTTGAGTTAGCTATTTATGAGTGCTGACTTGGTTAGACTTTATAAGAATTGAAGGGACAGCTGGAGGGATGAAGAAGTTAGGTATGTATGGGTAGCTAGATGAATGCAGTAATTACACAAAACTAATATACTCCTTTGCCAAAATGAAAGAGCTTATAAAAGGAATTTGCAGATAGTCCAGTTAGGCATCTATATCTGCGGTCATTAGCATTCAAGTATTCATTCACAACAACTTATTCTCGCCCTTTCGCTCCCTCTCCCTCCCCTCCCCCCTCTCTCTCTCTGT